AAGGACAGATTACCGAATCTAGATTTTGACGATTGCACGCACATGCTTTTCATGGACCACATTTCCTACTCTCCAATAGCCCTAGAGAACCCTACCACGTTTTTCTTAATGCCCCACTATGCCCCCATTGTCCACTAGTTTCACCAAGTCCCGAGACCCGTTTATCCACTCTTAAAAATACATATAAAAAAAACTCTCTTCTTTGCCCCAATTTCTCCAAGCTAAATCTCCGAAGGTCGTACGGAGGACTCGTGGCATCATCGATTCACCGCCCATATCGGCCTGGCCGCGGACCGAGGAAGCGCTGACTGAGCGGTTTGCGAGCTTCCAAGGATTGCAATGGCTGGACCCGACGTTTGGTTTCACAAGAAATCCGCATTTTTTGGAGTTTATTTTGGAATTGCCCTTGCTGCGGTTCACGGGTTTGGATTTTCTAGCCCGGACATATCTCGAAAAATTTAACATCTCTCGAAACGCAATCGGCCCTACGGACCACAGAACTGTAATGGAACTTTCTTAGACTCAAAAAGTGGAGACTTCCCCAACTTTGTTGTCGTCATCGGCCTCGGTGGCTTGGAAGCTTAGTAGACCGTGATTATGGGGAAGAAGGTTTTTTTAGGCCCACGAGTCAGAACTTGCGACTCCGTACGAAGGAGGGACGCCGAAAAGGACCCGGGACGGAGGGCGCGTGGCATTATCTCACGAGGAGTTCGGATTATTTAGATAAAGAAGTACAAGTACTCGTACTATGACAGTGTAGAAGTTGGAGCTAAAATTCGACAGCCGATCCACTTGACCAAGGCTCAATGCTTATCAAGGCAACAGCATTCCCAGACCGCGAAAATAATTGTAGTCTTGGCAGCTTCCAAGGAAGAACAATGAGGGTACAATTACAAGAAGTGTGAGCTGGAAGTTGCGAATTTGCGAATTTGGAACAGAGGAACAGAACAACATCGTCGCATCTCACATACGGAGTACAATGAAGCAATAAACGACCCCAGCCCAGCGCTGCGAATCGATCTCCGATGCCGTCATTTTGCGGCTTCTCACGCACGTTCCAAGGTATTATTATCTGGACACTCGATCCATGACGGCCTTGTGAAGTTCAGCGCTCTTGTCGTCGGTGCCAATCTCTTATCTGGACTAGACTGTCTAGACATCCACGAGTTCGGCTTGGCCGTATCATGCTCAAGGCCCACGGTATCCAGTAACTCGAATAGGGAAGTCCCTCTGACTAGACCCCGGATTTTCTGGTTTTGATAGGTAGGACAGACGTTCGATCCTCCGGGTATACGAGATAAGGGAGAAAAGATTGACCGACACACGTCCGGGACCATTCATGTGGAGACCGTCAGTGCCCTTGGCATGGATCGATTCTCACCGACTGTCGAGTTTCTTGCACGGATGAGACAAAAGAGAATCAAGGTCTCAATAAAAGAGCCAAGGACGATGAGATGAATAGTTGTACTCTCCTCCAAGAAGGCGCCGAGCCGGCAACGGCAAGAAGCCCCACGAAGCGCCTCCGGACCGTCAATAATGTCAACAATAATAACATTGTCGGAGAAGCTCCGAGGGCCCTCAAGAGTCCACACCTACAGCGCCTTCTCCGCAGTAGTACCTACTCCAGGTTATTCTCGGGTCAAAATAGTATGATGTGATTTGAGCTTCGGCATAGCAGCCAGTACCCCTAACAGGGGCGAGCAAGAGGAACGTTGCATGTCCCCGGTACGATATGATCTGGGGTACATGTACGAAGCACGGCGTAGCTACGCTGCCCCCACGAAATCCACGAGATTTCAATATTGTCCGACCAGCGTTGGCATGCTACAGTACTCCGTACATGGCTATGGGATGTTTCAGGGGGAAACTTGCTGCCAGCTTGGTCTGACCCCCTCCCCCCCCAAGCTGCCAATCAATCATACCCTCAGTCCCTCCACGTGCGTTGCCGGAAACGTCCGACTCCAAATATAACAGCTTCTCCACGGCAAAGCTTCCTCTTGAAGAAGAAGCTGCTGATGTCATGTCATCTTCACAAGATAACTTTACATGTCCTCCGACAACTCGTGCCTGTGATTTTCGCGTTTTATGCTTTATGTGACTGACACGTGTACGTAGTACAGAGAACGGAACGGCATTCATTTTGCACCGGAAAGATCTCCAATGATCAGCTACGCCACTTTCTCCCCCCAATAATATTCCCCGTGTTTATTTCTGCGGATGCCCCGGCTGTCGAGCCGGAAGTCACCCCGACGTTCTTGACGTGAGAGGGTTTCCTTTTTTTTTTTGTGATTCGGCTACTGTGTCAGTCAACAAGGTTGTAGCTCGCATAATAGCGATCCATTGACGAGATTGGGAATCATGGATCCGTAGGTAGGGAGGTGTTTGTGTCTGGGCCTGCGGGGAAGCGGAAGACGTGAGCTACTTTTGATATTAGGGTTTTTTTTATAAAGTCTTGATTGGGTCGTCTCTGTCCGTGAGAGGTTGCTCGAGGACAAGTAAGTATTATTTACCTGGTTTCGAGATGGAGGATGGATGGGTCAAGGGCCAAAGGAGGAAACTGTATGGAATTCACCGCCGCATTACCGCATTACCGCATTAAGAGAGACGAGACACGAGACACACGAGAGGCAAAGCCCAAAGAGGCGTTTCGATAAGCGTAGTCTAGAGGAATAAGGTTGGCGATGTTGGTGTGGGGATGAAGATCATCGGGATGCGAGGGAGGGGATGGGATAGGATAGGATAGGGGGTGATAAGGGGGCAGGCAGCATGACAGGACGAAGGACGGACGAGGAGCAACCCCGTGTTTTCTAATGGCCTCTGCAGTATGCAGACAGAGGTGATCAGTTCGCCTGATCTTTAATTATCCGGCTCTTGAAATGTTGCCTCATCGGGTCTCGTTCGACTACCTTTCGTGCCTTTCGTACTGCTCGTTAACCAGTACAAATGTATGTGGTTCGGTGGGTTCTACACGAGCTAGCTGTTGTTGCACCACCGCCAACACACTGGCGTCATTTCCAAGAATCCAAGATATTGCCTTATCGGGCGTCGGGCGAGAGGTGCAGCACAGCATAGTGCAGGTGCTTCGTACAGTTAAGTAGCAGCTGCAGGCACGCCGGATATGGTGGATAGGCCTCCCGGAGATATGATATGTCGCTAGCAATGCACACACAGGCAGGCAGGCAAGCAAGCGATCAAGAAAAAGTACGGGGAATATACAGTTACTGTGCTTCGTATACTTCGTATCAGGGGATAGCAGTAAAGTAAGGATCGTTGAGCATTTGCCATTTGCAGAAGAAAGAAATGAAAGAATGGAAAAGAAAAGAAAGGAGTTTCATTTGGCAACACCACCTCTCGGCAGACTCGCCCCGGGGAATTCCCCAGCAAAAAGGAAAAGGGTTCTCAAGCTTTTGAAGCAACACGTACACCGGAACCCGTCGGCGGGGTTTCAGGCGCACACTCCAGGCCCCCGGCTTTTCGGGCTTCAGGCTCCAGGACGGCGGACGCACCAAGGGGAATGGGGAATCATACTAGCATGGAGAAAGGTTTAAACCCAAATGAGGATGTGCAAGTAGAGGTAGGTGGCACTGGGAGTATATATTTCTATCGGAGTGGTTGTCCTAACTCCCCGTTCGTAGCCCTAAATGAATACGTGCGTATAAACAATGTGCATTGTGCAGCATGCTACTCGGTAGCTACTACTGTAGGTACTGTAGCACTTATTAATAATTAGACAGTAGTACTTGGTAGCGTACTGTTTTCACTATTTCGTAGGTGTAACATGTATGATTAATATACCGTACTCCATATACATAATAGGTTCATAGCATAAATCTTCCTTGCCAACAAAAGAAAAAGAAAAGATAAAGTTGCGCCCTGAGTGACTGACTCGAGGGGGTTGACGGGCTCCGGTTGTTTCCCGGCATGTACGTTCTGCGTGGTGTCCGGCGAGGGTTTCACTATCATCAGGGCGTCCGGAGGTGCTAGGGACACACCCGGGGGACTCCACACTGCGTTGTCTCGGGCAGTTGGAGTGTTGTGGGGGAGAAGGGGAGGAGGGCGGAGGGCGTGTGTCTTGGGGGACTTGGAGGGCTTGGGGTGCCGGGCGCGGGCTTTTGGTGGCGTGGCGTGTGTGTCGGTGTCGCGCTGTCGCGCTGTCGCTGTGTCGCTGTGTCCCTATAAGCTGTCTCTTATACACATCTAGATGTGTATAAGAGACAGGTGCAGCGCCTTACAGCGTCTTAGAGCACCCTCAGCCCCCCCGGGCAGGCCCCATCACAGGCCACCGCACCCCCTAAAGCCACTGCTACAGCAGCTCGCTCACCCCCCTACCTGCCAGCACCCAGGTACCAGTTTCTGCACTGCACTGCGCTGCACTGCACCGCTGCACTGATTACCTGCACACCACCCACACCACTACACTACGATACACTACAATACACTACACCGACCACATTCGACGCTATACGCTTGTACGCACGCTACGCTGCCCCGACTCGACTCGACTCGACTTGACACTCGACTCGGTCCCCTCCACCCTCCACCCTCCGCCCTACCACCAAACCCTACCGCCCACCGCCCACCGCCTACAGCCCGTCTCCAACCCTATCGCCCTCCCTTATTCTTCTCCCTCCTCCTCCTCCCTCCCTCCCTCCACAAACTATATCATCCACGCTGGCCCCGTCCCCGTCCCTCCTCCCCCCCCATCCCCCATCCTATAACGCCACTGATAAAAACAACATCACCACCACCACCCACCACGATATAAAACGGTACAACACCGCCACTCTTCCCGCGGCCAACAACAAAATCAACATTCATCCACCAAACCAACATCATCCTCCCTCGCCCACTCCTCCTCCACAACCCACCCCCCACTTTCTCGACACCCGCCCTTATACCTCAGCCCTCCCCGCCCCCAGTCGAAAAATAAAAATATATACAGAAAACCTGTCGATTTCCATTTCCATTGCGACCTCAATTTCGCTGCGAGCGGCCATCACATGCAACCCGCATCGTCCGCCGGGAATTTCGCAAATCTGTTGAACCCGCAGAAGAGCATCAGCAGTGTGGATAGGGAGCGAGAGCGAGAACAGGACGCCGCGAGAAGGAAACTGGCCGATTTGCAGCATCAGCAGCAGCTGGAGCGCTATCACCAGCAGCAGCAGCAGCAACAACAGCACCACAACCACACCCAGCACCACCCAGAGATGGCAGCCGTCACGATGATGCCCGCCATGGCTACAGCCTCACCGCAACAGCAGCAGCAGCTACAGCAACAGCACACCGCCGACGAGCGACCCGACCTCCCCCGACCCTACAAGTGCCCCCTCTGCGAAAAGGCCTTCCACCGCCTCGAGCATCAAACAAGGCACATCCGTACGCACACCGGCGAGAAACCCCATGCCTGCCAGTTCCCCGGCTGCACCAAACGCTTCTCCCGCTCTGACGAACTCACCCGACACTCGCGGATACACAACAACCCCAACTCGAGACGAAGCAACAAGGCGCAGGCCCAGGCACAGCATGGCGTCGTGCAACACCCTCTGCCCAATGGCCCCTTGGAGCTGCCCCCCGCCATGGCGAACATGATGCCTCCGCCCAAGAACAGCAGCAATGGCAATAGCAGCATGAGCATGTCCGCGTCCCGGTCCGCCCCCGCCTCGGCCATCGGCTCCCCCAATGTCTCTCCTCCGCACTCGTACGCCTCGTACTCGACCGTCGTGCCCTCGAATCTGAACCCATACGGCCGGAGTCTCGGCGGCAGCCCGAACAACGGCCACCAGAGCCACCCGCAGAGCCATCAGCAGGGTCACCACCATCTGGATATCAACCTCCTGGCCACCGCCGCCACCCAGGTCGAACGCGAGAGCACCTTGGCCACGCACCACCCGCACCACGGCGCCCCGAGACATCACTACCCGTACTACAGCCACAGCAGTCACAGCAGCCGGAATCACCTGCCCTCGCTCTCGGCCTATGCCATGTCGCGGTCCCATTCGCACGACGAGGACGATCACTACGCCCATCGCCATGCCAAACGCTCGCGGCCCAACTCCCCAAACAGCACCGCGCCCTCGTCGCCGACCTTCTCCCACGATTCGCTGTCGCCCACGCCCGACCACACCCCCCTCGCGACGCCCGCCCACTCGCCGCGTCTCAGGCCGTATGGAGGGGGATACGATCTCCCAGGCATTCGCAACCTGTCATTACAGCATACGCCGCCAGCCCTCGCGCCCATGGAGCCGCAGCTCGACGGCCCGTACCATATCACCAGCCAGCCAACGCCGGCCGCGCCACGGAGTGGTCTCACCATCAGCGACATCATGTCCAGCACCGACGGCGCGCAGCGGAAACTTCCGGTCCCGCAGGTGCCCAAGGTGGCAGTTCAAGATCTGTTAACGAGCGATAATGGCTTCAACTCGAGCGGGCAGAGCAGTACAACCGGGAGTGTGGCGGGAGGCGATTTGATGGATCGATTGTGAGAAGATTACAAGGGCTTTCGGGCCATAATTCACCGGAATACGGATCAAGATTCTTAATGGGAGCATCTCGAGGCTCTGCTCGAAACTTCCTCCGGGTTTCGTTACCGCCTTCTGGGCGATGATGCAGATGATGATGTACAGATAAATTACCGCGCACTATAGACTTTTGCTTTTCAACATTTCCTTTTGTTCACTCTTTTCTTTTCGCCATTTTCGAAATGGGACCGTTACATCATGACATTCTCACGACTCTCCAGTCTCTCCTTTAATAAGGATGAGGAATTACTCTCCTCTTATTTTGGGTTTTTTACCATTTGCTATTTGTTCTTGTTACTTCAGCGTCTCTACTCATAGACTGGCCGGGGATGGGGAACTGGATTCATTGGGTTCTTTGGACGGGATGACGGGGGTTCAATTGGGATGGAGTATTAGAGGGCGATCACGCATACCTTGGCTGTATAGCTCGCAGTATAGTTCGCTGCATGTGCGCAGTTTGAATTGAATGAAAAAAATGAATTCTCCACCAGCCGTGTATGATATTATGCCTTGTGATTGCGAGATACGATGACGACAATGCCAATGGGAGTAGCAGGTTAAGGGGCTGGTTTTGCATGTGATCTCGACAGATTGCCAACCCTTCACACCTTTCTCATGTCTCAGGCTCCCCCCTCCACATCTCAACTCTACAGCAAGAATGTACCTACCAAGGTATGTACTACTTACAGTACCTACTCCGTACGTGTGCCATCCGATAAGAATTAAGAATCTGATACGAAGGCACTCTACCACAATCCGTGGCACAGCATAGATTGACCATCATGATGCACTACCACATTAACACGCGATAGGTAGATAGCACTCTTTTCCGGTTGGGCCCTATCGCCACCACTATGTATGTACTGCACCTTAGGTACCTTATGTATGTACATGTACCTTTCTTTACCCTACCTTATGCCAGCCTGTCAGGCAGGGTAAAAGGACGAGATGCGGCGGCCGCCGTGCACAATGACTCGTAGGAAGGATTAAATTGGCATGTGAAGAAAGGCCCGGACGCTCGAGAAATTAATTATAAGGCGTTTCGGTCAAATAGATAATTAAGGTACTAGGTAGGCAAATTATATAAGCAGAAGCATGTTTCGATAGGATATGGGGATGGGGATGGGATTGTCGGTTTAGTGGCGGCCGATGATGTTGATGAGATTCATTTCTTCGAAGGGGCGAGAGTCGGGGGTTATTTTTTGGCGTTGATTGTGCCGATGTATGTATGCAAGCAATGTATGCAAAGAGGAGGATGTGGAAGTTGGGGAAAGGGCCCCTTGAAGGTAGGAACAGGTGTCAATGAAGGGTTTTAGTCAAGGATCCGGCAGTTCCAATTCATTATCGTCCGTTCATTCCTTCATTCCTTCATTCCTTCATTCCTTCATTCGTATTGGGGAACACGACTTAGCAAAAAAACCCCATTCTCCGTAGAATAAAGTTTGATTATTACTTTTACTTTTACTACTTCGTACTTGTTTAGAAGCAAAGTAACTTCCCATTCCCCCATATCACATACCAATCAAAGAAGTAAAGTACAAATGGTACAGATCCATGATCTGCACGCTACTTCTGCGTGTATTTAGGCAGTTATGTGCCGAAGGTTTGTTTTTTTGTTCTAGGCCAGCCAGGAAGCAAATACCGCATTCATCCTATCAGGAACCTATATGTACCGTAGGGGGTCTGCTAGGGCTTTGTTCGGTACGAGTTGTAAGATCTCCGTCTAAGGTTCGCTTTTCATCTATTACCTGGGCAGACGGTGATGCATGGAGCAGAAACGGGCAGCTTAGGCATGATGGTGCCGATGCGATCGGTAATATACGCACAGGGAATCCTTCTTGGACATGTTTTAGAATATGATTCTGGGCTGGACTTGGGCTTTTGCGTGATTTTGTAATGGGATTATGGAATGGGGAGATTTTATATTGTAGGCTGAATGTATGTATGTGTTTTCTTCAGGTACTCCGTACGTAGTACTTCGGGGGAATTTAATAAAGGAAAGCTAATATGGACTTGACTAAATTGATCTTCAGAATTAAAGTCTTACTCCTCACTTACCCTATCGTTCAATACACGCACTGCATCCATCTGCAGGACAAATGAACCCCATATCACCTACCCCGGCCAAACCGCCGCCAAAACCATCACCAAAGCAATATAAATGTCACGGATAGTATGCACAGATACGTACATGCCCGCGCGCTTTAGGCACAGTTCTACCGAGCTCGAGTAAGTGACCGAACCCGGTTCAACCAACCGAGCACCCTAGGCTTATAGCAGAGGGCAATTAAGCATAATATACGAAGGTATGTACTATGTACTCCACCAAACAGCATGAGAAAACCTCGGCCGAAGAGGGAAAACAGGACATATGTAAGCCAAGGTGACAGAATTAATAAATAGCAAAAGAGGGGGAAATATGATGCGAGTGGCTTTTTATTGACAAACTGTGTTGACGCCCCTGATGGATGAGGGCGGCGAATATCGAGGGCCCGTCACATCCAGCCTCCCCATGGCTATTCACTCGTGGCGACAATTTGCTAAATTGACAGACCCGACGGACCCTTCCCCGCGCCTCGCTCCTCCTGAAAGTTCCCCCGAATCCTGGCTGCTTGCGAAGGAGCAAAGCCACATAAGAGATATAATTCCAATGTAGAAAGGCCCGGGGGCGCCCAAATGCAGGTCTACAGAGTAGTATTGCGGCCCGTGCAAAATACTCCGCACAAGTTATGTCGATCAGGAAGCTCAAAATGACGCCAATATGCGCGAGCGATCCCCCTGCAGCATGGTCTAGTCTGACTTTCGAAGCCTCGAGCTATACTCAATAGATTTCAAGATAATCAGATAAGAAAAAGGGGCTTCGGCAATTGAAGCTACTTCATCCGGAAGGAAGGGCCGGACCTCCTGGGGAAATCCAGCAGATGATAATCGTACAAGTTGCAGGAGAAAAGAGGAACGAAAACCCAAAAAGGAGAAGAAAAACGACATCTCCTTTACCCGCAATCCTACAGTACTGCCGCCGCGGCAGCTGGTCGCTTGAGGGATCCAATACGATCGTCGTGCCCTGAACCACTTTCAGAATACGAAACCACTATAGCCGCGGCCATCCGCTATGCTGTGCTTGGCGGGCTATGCTGACTATCTTGAAGCCGAGCCGGCAAGTCATCTAAGTCCTCGGATGGGAGGAAATGCAGAGTGAAAATTCCATACGAGTAAATGAAGGGCTGAGCTTGCTTTCTCGCCTACTCTGTTGTTATCTCTTGCTTCTGCTAGATCCTGTTGGGGCTTGGTGGGAATGTTGCCCTATGTTGGTAGTGAGATGAGGCTGAAGACGAGAAGCCGTACACAACAAGCCTCTCTCTCTCCCCGCACGATATGATGAGGATAAAAGAAGGTTGAGGCTGAATGTTGGGAAGTTGGTTGGTTGGTGGTTGGTACGTGGGTTGGGGGATGTGTTGGATGGAACAGTTGTACGTACTGGCTTCGCGGATGTAGATGGTGTGTCGATCCCCCTCTCTCAGCGGAGATTAAATTGGTATGCGTGTCAGATATCAGGAAAGGGGAGAAATGAGTGAAGGATGCCTGTCTAAGGTACCATACGAAATATCGGGAGCGGCCAGCTCATAATGCTGAATGCTCGGAGTCCGGAATGGACAGGAAAGAAGGAGGGAAGTGAAACCTGGTTGAGGGTTCTCGGGCAATCAGGGAAAAGGGGCGGATTCGGTGATATTGGTGGTACCGATATGCGAGGTGTTACGTACTTGTGTATGAGATGATGTGCACAAAGCAGCGTATGGAGCAGCGGATGCTGTGGGAGGGGAGTCCCCGCAGGCGGTCCAAGGGTAGGCAGGTTGTGAGACAGAGTTCTAGAGCGTTGAATTTGTTCAATTTGGACTCGGCGAAGATCGGGATGGACAAGAGGATGAGGTGTGATGAAGTAGGGGTGTGGTACTAGCAACACATTGACAACACATTGAGATTCCAATGCCCTCAGGAGTCAGGAGCAATGAATGAAACGGGAAAGAAAGTTTGGCTTGCATATTCAGAGAAAATCACAGGGGCCTAGGCCGTCGTTAGGGCATCTGCATGTGATTCCCAAAAGAATCGGGAATCCGGCTCAGGACATAATCCGCGGTATAGGCATAAGAAACCTCGGGTGCCAGATGAAGTAGTTGTAAAGGAATTTCCAGATTAAACTTAAAAATAAACATATTGGTTATTATTTTAAAAAATAAGCAAATAAATAAAGATATCTAGAAGTACTATAAGTCGGCAGCCCTAGTTGAGATCCAGGACCATGTTTCCGGCCTTAAGACATGAGATATTGATGCAGTTCAGATAAAAATAAAGTGCTCGGCTGCGGGTTCATCGGTAAGCAAGGACCAATTCCAGACCCAAGCATTCATATATACATAGGTAGGTATGCGCTATATATTGGTACGGGTGCTGGCACCAGGTACTGTCGAACTTTGGGATAGCGAGGGGTAGAGTATACAGCTTATCTCCATCTATTTGACCAATACAAGTGTTTGGTGATTAACTGAACAGGGTCCACGATGCTCCCGCTGCATAACTATCTATCATGGAATCGAGATGGAGACAAGGCGCTTGCAATCGGTCAGAATTCCACATGCAAAAGGGAAGCCTGCTATACCTGGAGCTCAGTATAATCACAGACAAACCGGGAGAGCGTTACAAATTTGGTGAAGGGATGCATACAATATGCAGGAGCCAAACCCAAATGCTGGTGTGAGTTGAAGGGAAATGCCGTATAGCTGTTTCACCTTTCGACCATGCATCCGACTACTCACACCGACTAGAAAAACATGCAAGGAAGTGCAGAAACAGAATTTATAACTAGAGGTATAACTAGAGGTATAACAACCAAAAGAGCTGAATATTGTACTGATGATTCATAGACTTGGAGCGGATTGTTGACCTACAGAGTATGGGCGATACATACT